GTCTGTTGCAGAGGCGAGGGGAAGGGATGAGTAGGTCGTCAAAATTAATAGAATGCTTGACGCTATCTGCTAATGCTTGAATTGTTCGCACCGGCTTTGGCTAGGTTGGCAACAACATAATTGGCATTCACATCACGGACAATCCAAAAGAGTCTATCACTAATCTGGCTCGAGTTCTTCAGTGGCATCGACTTTGGAGGCCTGTTCCCTCGGGGTCACCACTACAGTTCAAGGAGCTTTGTGATATCGTTTGTATCAGTTTCGCCGTCATCTGCGAAGGCGGATCCAGGAATTAGTACCACCATATCTCCTCTAAGTATCCTTTATCAAATTCATGTTTTAGAAGGTTATTCTCCCTCGTCTTTGTCGTCTGTGTGGAATATTAGCGGGAGAAGCAGATTTTTAGGTAGACTGCTTACATAACACGGAGTTAACGGTTAAGGAGCTGAAAAGGATGCGATATCAAGCAGGCCCACTCCCTTTTTGCATATCTCAAAGCAACTGGATGAGGTTCAACTCTCAGTTCTTTGTAATCTGCCTTTAGAATACGGTTGTCATAGATGCCAGAATTAATTACCGGAGCCTCAATGTCCTTGTTGCAATATCTTTTCATAACACCGATACTGTAATGAACCAATCCCCTCTGACCAGCACCACTCTTCCCGCTTAACTGCCCATATCAATAACTAAAGACTGTGAATTTCAGTTTGGAACAGTCTGCTTTTCCACTACAGCTCGCTTGTCACTTCTCAAACCGTTAAATCACTCGTGCATGCTACGTACGATCAGTCAGGGTTTGAATTCCAGCTTACGCTACTGGTTTGCAGTCAAAATTCGTCCTTGCTGTAACATTCCACATTAAATGCCTTAATGGTCTCAAATTTACTCAAAAAAAGTCGCCGTAAAGGTCCTTTACTACATGAGTCTTTCTCTCTTCCCTTCAACCAGGCAAATGAGCAAGCGGCTAAACGACGCATTCGTGGTACTCTCATTGAGAAGTAGATGCGGGAAAGCGGATGCCGTGGTTTTCTGCACGCAACTCCGACCTCCGCGACTGCTTACACAGCCTGCCCCCCCTGCCTCCTGTATATAAACTACTCATCTGTTTTTTTGCCCTACGATTCCTCTGTCAAAATAAAAAACAAAGTTCTTAAGACTAAGCAATGCTTTGTCTTTGTTGCTTAAGGTCTTTGCCGTCCCAACCCGCTGCTACTAGAAACTTTTAGAGTCCGCGTGATCTCCACTAGTTGGATTTCAGCGACGTTTGATTTAAATACCTGTGCAAATGTATTTTGGTCTCTAGCGGGTCTCCCGGAGCGGTTTACATTGTACTAGAAATTAACAACGTCACCTGCGTCGCCAATTTGTTGTAACGGTGGCCAAGGCTGTGATATTACCGTCTACGT